TTCCTTTATTGGTTGTTTCTTTAAATAGTAAGGCAATATTTTAGGCATTGCAGGATACATGTCTTTTAAGGCAAATATTCTTACATTGATACTGAAGAATAAAAGCAACAATAAACATATTTAAGTGAATATATATGGCTATGTCCCAAAATTTTCAAAGTAGGCATGCACATGTATATATGTCTGTAAATAATATTCCTAAATAAAAACTGTCCAGTAATATAATGTCACTTTTATGCATGTCTTCATGTTTTCTTTTTGATGGCATTAATGACTTGTGACTGATAGTTTCATAGTCTTTGCAGATTTCCTCTTGGATGCCACCACTGCTGTTGTCTGAAGTTCAAATATTTACCTTTTAGCTTTGGTGAAGGTGTGATTTCTCAGTTAACATGTGCATACTGCGTGGTAGTTTTCTGTGTAGTAAGGGATACTGATATGGGATGTCCTTCTGTATGCTGCGAATATGTGTTCCTTTTATTGATTGATGAATAAAGCTGATTCAGCCAATGCCTAAGCAAAGCAAAACCAGGTGGGAAATCCAAGCAGAGATAAAGAGAGAATATGCAGAGTCGGGGAGACACCTTGTAGCCTCCAGGGAAGCAAGATGCCAGGGAATCACGGGTAAGCCACAGCTATGTGGTGATACACAGATAAGTAGAAATGGGTTAACTTATAAGAGAGAGCTAGCCAGTAATAAGTCTAAGCCAGTGACCAAACAATTACAAATATGTATGAAGTCTCTGAGTGGTTACCTTATATAAGTGACTTATAAGCAGCTGTAGGCATCTGGTGATCAGAGAAAAACTGGTTCAGGGGGACTGGATGGAACACATAAAAACTTTCAATTGCCATCCCTTCTAACTTTTAGTAAATGCATAGACCATGTATCTTGATTCTTTCAGTAAAAAACAGTAACTTCTTCCCTAAGAACCAACCTGGTAATTTGATTTACCTTAGATTGTAGGAAAAACTGATGTCAGAAAACTTCCTGGGAGGATAGCCAAAACAACCCTGTTCAACAAGGCAACGTCCGGAGGCATCACTATCCCTGACCTCAAGCTCTATTATAGAGCTATAGTCCTGAAAACAGCTTGGTATTGGCACAAAAATAGACAGGCAGACCAATGGAATCGAATTGAAAATCCAGGTATTAACCCACACACGTACGAACATCTGATCTTTGACAAAGAAGCTAAAAATATACAATGGAATAAAGAAAGCATCTTCAACAAATGGTGCTGGCATAATTGGAGACTGGCATGTAGAAGAATGCGGATCGATCCATGTTTATCGCCATGCACAAAACTTAAGTCCAAATGGATCAAAGACCTCAACATAAATCCAGCCACACTGAACCTCTTAGAAGAGAAAGTGGGTGGTACCCTTGAACGAATTGGTACAGGAGACAGCTTCCTGAACATAACACCAGTAGCACAGACAGTGAGATCAACAATTAATAAATGGGACCTACTGAAACTGAGAAGCTTCTGTAAGGCAAAGGACACAGTCAGCAAGACAAAAAGGCAGCCCACAGAATGGAAAAAATATTCACTAATCCCACATCTGACAGAGGGTTGATCTCCAAAATTTACAAAGAACTCAAGAAGCAAGTCTCCAAAACAGCAAAGGACCCAATTAAGAAGTGGGCTGCAGAACTAAATAGATAGTTTTCAATAGAGGAGTCTAAAATGGCTGAGAGGCACTTGAGAAAGTGCTCAACATCCTTAGCCATCCGGGAAATGCAAATCAAAGCAACTCTGAGATACCATCTCACTCCTGTCAGAATGGCTAAAATAAAAAACACCAATGACAATTTATGCTGGAGAGGATGTGGTGAAAGGGGGACACTCCTCCATTGCTGGTGGGAGTGCCAACTGGTTCAGCCACTTTGGAAAGCAGTATGGAGATTCCTCAGAAAAATGGGAATAAACCTACTACAAGACCCAGCAACTCCACTCTTAGGCATATATCCAAAAGATGCCCATTCATATAACAAAGATGTCTGTTCCACTATGTTCATAGCAGCTTTATTTGTAATAGCCAGAACTTGGAAGCAACCTAGATGTCCCTCACCCGAAGAGTGGATAGAGAAAATGTGGTACATCTACACAATGGAGTACTATTCAGCAGAAAAAAATAATGGAATCATGAGATTCGCAGGCAAATGGATGACACTAGAAGAAACCATCCTGAGTGAGGTAACCCAGTCACAAAAAGAGAAACATGGCATGTACTCTCTCATATATGGATTTTAGACATAGATCTGGGGAGTTCCAGCCTACAATCCTATGGCCAGAGAGTCTGGGAAACAGAAACTTCATTTAGTGGCTGGTTAAGTAGTGAGCTGAACTCAAGAAAGCCAGTATCAGAGAGGGAGGACTGATGATCAAAGGGATTAAGACTGGGCTGGTTTAACCCCCAGAAACAGCTGACCAGACAAAGGTTAACTCTTGAATCCCAGGCATCAGCCTGGGAATCCAGCATGGGACTGATCAAGACCCCCTGAATCTGGGTGTCAGTGAGGAGGCCTAGGTAATCTATTGAGCCTTGGACAGCAGATCAGTACCCATCCCAAGTATACACACGGACTCTGGACTCCCATAGAACAATGTGAGGTGCACTCTCACCCTGAACTCTTGGGGAAGGGTCTAGGCCCTGCCCTATATGAAATGACAGACTATGGACACCCCCATGGAGGGCCTCACCCTGGGGGAATGAGGGGATAACGGGGGGGATGGGGGGGAGGGCACGGGAGGAGGGGAGGGAAAGGGAGAGGGACCTCGAACTGACTTGTGAAGCAACCTTGTTTCTTATCTAAATTTAAAATGGAAAATAAAAAAAATAATAATAAAAAAAAAGAAAACTTCCTGGGAAAAATAATTAAAGAACCTCCAGTCTGGAATAAGTTTACTTTTGACAATTTTATCCCCGAGATTATCTGGCTTCAAAAATAGTTTGTAAACTTTAATGTGCTATGCCAGTGCTAAATTAAAATAGTCCCAATCTAGTTGGATATGGAAGGATACACTTTTTCCCCTGTTGTTACTTGAAATTCTTTTTTGTTTTTTCTCTAAAACTAAGATAAAAGACCACATTGGTAAATCGTAGACAAATGGCAAGAAAGAATTTTTAAGTTAAATTTATTTCTATTATTTGTAGATTTTCCTAAAGAAGTTCTGTAAAAAAAAATTCTTACTTCTAAAGTTTCCTGTTTTATATCCATCTCTAGAATACAAGATTTGAGGTCTTTGTTTTTCTTTTTGCTGTTTATTTTTTGTGAAACACTTTTAATTTCTACAAATAAAGCTATGTGCTACAAAATATGTGAATCTTGCAGTCTATTGGTTTTAATCGTTAAGATTTTCTTCCCCCCTTTATACCTAGTGAAACTCACAGTCAAGGTCGGTGCTAATTAGTTTCAGTTCTAACAGGGTAACGTGGGACCATCAGAGTATCAAGTCTCTGCTGTACAACCTGACATCTCATTAACAGTTATTTTATAACATATGGTGTTAGGGTGATCTGAGTTAATGTCTGTGCCAGCAAGGTGGCAGAGGTGGGTATACAGAGTCAAATTTTCCTGGCATTTGACACGCGACTTTAAGGAAAATATTAGTTATAATTTCTGAGCACAGTCAGTGATCATGAGAGAAATAAGATCTTTAGGCATAGACATTTATATGAATTACTTGTGTAATTGATCCTGAAACTCAAGTTCAACTATGCCTCATGCAGCACAATAGAGAACAATGTGATTTGATGGATAGCAGACATGGTTTGAGGACTATTCATTACAAAGGTAACTGTAGTTTACCTTTGTTGTCATTGCATGCAGTCATACATTAGTATTTTTCCATAGTCTCTTCGAAAACTCAAACTCCTTATTACTTAGAGTTGGATACTTTGGCAGTTTGTTGTTTGCAAATATAAAGTCATGCACTAAACAGATGGTAAGTTTATTTAATTTGAGATAGGTCTTATTTTATAGAAAAAGAAAGATAGTAAAGCATCGTCATGCTCCTGATTTCAGAGTAGGCCTGCATCAGTTAAAATTATGCTAGCTAAAAATCTAAATGTTGAAGTGCTTTTATTTATTCCTATATGATTTCCCCAGTAAGTGCTTCCCTGAACTCTAGTGCCAGAGGTGACCTGATGCTAAAATTATAAAATGGAGAGTTCTAAGGGCCCAGGGGTCATTTAACTGAACATCTTAACTCTACAGAGGTGAAAACTCAGTCTCAGTGCTGAAAATTGCAAGTTCGGATGGATGGATACAATTCTAATTTTCCCCGATGATAAAATTTAATTGTGCCTCTCCTGTACATATATATATATATATATATATATATATATATATATATATATATATATATGCATAGCGAGGCCCCATATTTCTCTCTGCATGCATAGCAAGAAGCCTCTCATTTTCCCTGTGTATACTAACATTCCTTTCACCTCCTTCTGGCCTTTCCCTCCCCTTTAAACGGTTTTTTAGAGACAAGGTCTCCCTTTGGAGCCCCTGCTGACTCTGAACTCACCATGAAGCCCACACTGGTCCTTAAGTGGTGGCACTTGCCCTGTCTCTGCCTCTCGACGGTGGGGACTGTGGGCACCAGCCCTCACACCTGGGTGCGGGTCACTCTGGTAAAAGACCGTTAGCTGGTTTCTGACTTTCTTAGCTCACAATTCTTTACTTTCCAGCTTTGTGGGACCACTTAACTTTTCTCTCTCAGATCAGCACGATCCTGTTTTAAAGACACACGGTGAGCTATGAAAATGCAACCATTTATTTTCTGATCTTCCAGCCCCCAGGCAGGTCTTTTTCTTTATCAAAGATTTAGCCTTTTTTTTTTTCTTTTTCCATTTGAGACTGCAGTTTCCTCCAGACTAGTGCTTTGAACACTTGGTTCTCAGCTTGCGGCTCTACTTTAAGGCTGCGGAGCCTTTAGGAGGTGGAGGGAGGCTGGGAAAGGTGGGACTTCGAAGGTCATACTCACCCCTGGTCCTGACTTGCCCTTTTTGCTTTCCACCGCAGGCACAAGCTTCACTGACTTTCTGCTGCCCCATGTGGAGTTACTCTGCCGTGCCAGATGGACTGGAATTCCTCCAAAACTGTGAATGAAAAGAAACCTTCTGTTTCTTATATTGTTTTTGTCAGAGATTTGGTTACAGAGATGCAAAAGTAATCAATAAGGAAAATGGGTACCGAAGAAATCAGGCCCACTATTCTGCAGCCATGGGAAAAAAATCACCCCTTATGGTCCTAGGGCCACGCATGGGTGGAGCTACTCCTGGCATTTCCAATGAGATAGGATAGACTGGAGCTCATTAAAGCTGTGAGACAGAGTAAACCTTTTCATTCAATTATGCCGTCAGGTATTGGTCACAGTTGTGTAAATATAAGCAATGTACTACTGTCTAGATATTTTCTATGTACTGTTTTCCTACAAGAATGTAAGCTTTTTGATGGCAGGTAGGGTGACTTGATCCTATATTCCTGGATATTAGCAAAATGGCCTGGTATCTAGAAGGTCTTTGAAATAATGGATGGATGAATTAGTAATGGGGCCAACACTTGGGACAGAGTGGTTAGTTGATCTTATATCAATGTGGAGTGAAGAGTGGTATACTGTGGTTGTCAGGATCCATGGGAAAGCATCTCAAAAGTTAGACTCAAAAACTGCAAGCCCTAAGGATATTGATATTTTCAATGGATTAATGTTGGAGATGTAAATAGTTAGTAACTCAGAGTTTCATCCTTCTCTTACATGTATCAGAGGCATCATCACTCTGGGAGAGAAAATTTGTGTGGAACTTTAATTTAGTAACTAGTGTTTAAAATGTTCATACATTCTATGTGATAATATTTAATCTCTAATACTTAAAAAGACTTTTTCAGTTGTGTGTATATGTGTTTGTGTACATGTGTATATACATGAGTGATGAAGCCCACAGAGATCAGAGTAATAGATTTCCCTAGTGATGGAGTTGTAGGTGGTTGTGAGTCACCTCATATGGATATTGGGAGTAAGAATAGTATGCACTCTCAACCATGGAGCTACCTCTTCAGTTCCAATACTGACTAAGTTAATATTTATATAAAAACATATGAGATGAAGGAATTTAATTTACTTTTTTCTACCCCATACTCAGTATTTACTAGTTTTGTGACAGTGGGCAATATTTCACACATTGATCAATAATTGTTTTGTTAAATGGGGATATGGTATTACTGTGAGAATTCTCATCCACTTGGAGATTGGAAGGTTGCTCAGTATGTAGAATACCTGCTGCACAAGTGTAAGATCCTGGGTGTGGACCCCAGAAACCATGTAAAACTCTGTATAAAGCCTGTTTGTAATCCCACTGCTTGGGCTGGCTCACTTAGAAAGTGTATTCTTTTTCATGTTATTTCTATGAGAGATTTGTATTTTCAAATGAAGTGGTGACATGAAAATCATCAAAGTAGAAAGACAACTTTCACTAAAATATTAAATGTGACCAGCACTTTTATGATTATTGAGAGAACCTACCTTTATTTCTTTGAGTTATGGCATATAAGCAACAGTACTCAAGAATCTTCAATCACGATTTATTGGTGCAGTTTCAAATGATGCACCATTTAATACACATGTTGGAAATTGTAGTTATCCTGCTTCATAACTTTGTGGTTTGCAATTCTCTTTCATGCACATTTAATCCTTTGATGCCAGCTGGTAATGAAATGTTTTCTAATTATTATGCATCATTGGCCAGGGCAAGCCTGAAGGCCAAAAGCAGTTAACAGGTATTAATTATAGCCATTTACTTTCCTCTGAACTTTAATTGACATTCCCACAGGTTAAAATCTTTAAGTCACAAACACATTTGATTCCTTCAGCTTCTCTTATATTGATTTATCTTTAAAGTACACCATTGTTCTGTTGCTATATTTTCATGACTCAATCTAGAGAGTGTTCTATTACAAACGAGTTAATAAAAAATCACTAAGACTTCCTTGTTTTCTAATGAATATAGAATAATTTGTTCTAGAAATAGAATAAATCAACTTCAAAAATTGTTACCAAATTGGAAAATAGTTCAGATGCACTATTTCAAGATAGTCTAATCACAAAAATATATGTAGTTGGCTAACATCATACTGTTTTAGAGACTATAAAATACATGGATTATTGTGAAATAAAAACTCCACAAGACCCAGCAATTCCACTCTTAGGCATATATCCAAATGAGGCAAATTCATACAACAAGGGCATCTGCTCCACTATGTTCATAGAAGCATTATTTGTAATATCCAGAACCTGGAAGCAACCTAGATGCCCCTCAACTGAAGAGTGGATAGAGAAAATGTGGTACATTTACACAATGGAGTATTACTCAGCAGAAAAAAACAATGGAATCTTGAAATTCGCAGGTAAATGGATAGCACTGGAAGAAACCATCCTGAGTGAGGTAACCCAGTCGCAAAAAGACAAACATGGTATGTACTCACTCATATATGGATTTTAGACATGGATCAGTATAGTGCCATTCTGCACTTCCACTGATAGAGAGTCTGGGAAACAGGAAAGAACCTAAAAGATATGCATGGTACCCAAGAGAAGAGGATTGAGACAAGATCCTCTGAATGGATGGGGAACACAGCGAGGGGTGGGGGGGTTGGGAGCTTGGAAGAAGAGAGGGGGAGAAGAGGAAGAGAGAGTAGGTCATGGGAGAACAGGAAGGTTGAGTGGGGGGGGTAGAATAGGGGGAAGAGGGAATCATAGGTTAGAAGACAGATCTGGCACCAGAGTGACCTCTAGTGATCTAAAGGGATAACACCAATTGGCAAGCTAAGCAAAAGTGGAGAGACCACCTCGAATGCCCATTCCTGATAATGAACTTGATGTCTATAACCATCCGGGAGCCTTCATCCTGTGACTGATGGAAGCAGAGGCAAACACACAATTAAGCACTGAACTGAACCCAAGGAACCCAGTGACAGAGAGAGAGGAGTGATGAGCAAATTGGCAAAGAATGGGCTAGCAAAACCGGCAGAGATAGCTGATCTGAACAGGGGAGAGCTCTTGGACCCCAGACCAACAGCAGGGAGGCCAGCATGGGACTGATCTGGACCCCCCTCCCCCCGAATGTGAGTGTCAGTGAGAAGGCCTGGGCAACCTATGGAGCCCTGAGCAGTGGATCAGTGTCTATCCCTGGAATACAAACAGTCATCGTGTGCCCATAGCACAAAGAGGGATGCTCTCTCAGCCTGGGGAGTGCCTGGACCCTACCCTGAGTGAAATGACAGACTCTAGATATCCCCTATGTGGAAGGAATTGGCAATAGGGTGGGAGGCTGGGGGGGTGGGGGTTGGGAGGAGGGGAAGGAGAGGGAACTGGGATTGACATGTAAAACAAGCTATTTAAAATTAAAATAAAAACCCTGAAAACCAAGGATTATGTAGGACTTTATGAAGGCATTTAGACAGAAAAGATCAACATTTCCCATCTTACAGACCTTTGTTAAATCTTGGCCTTTATTTCCATTTAACAATTGGTTTGGTTACCTGACATACCTTGGGAATAGGAAAAGAAATGACAATGTGCAGCTTTAAGTATAAACATTAGTGAATTTGCTTGCTGCTTTAGGCATTCCCAGTCCTGAACATCTGACTCTAGTTGACCCACACATCTATAAGCAATTGAATATATTCATCTACCTACCTACCTACCTACCTACCTACCTACCTACCTATCTACCTACCTACCTACCTACCTATCTATCCATCCATTATCTTCCATCTGACTGTCTGTCCATTTCTTTGTGTCTCTAACTCTAAAGCTGATAGTTAAAGCTTGAAATCTTTATGAATTTATCACAATATGGAAGCAAGAGAAACTATCCAACACTAGGGAACCAAGAGTAACTACTGACCTAGAACTCTGGTGGACTATAAGTGAAAGAAGGAAAAAAGGTGGTGTGGTAATCTAAAAGAACATTAAATACACATCTTCCTTTATAGAATGTATTTTGAGTTTGATGCAACAAGGACTAGAAGCAATATTAAGAAACTATTTCAGATAGTTTTCATGCACTCTGTAATATGGAAAAAAACCTAGCTATTCCTCTCAGATCTCAGAATTAAAGCAGTATTATTGAGTGCCTACTAGAAACTAGAATGTACTAGAGATGCTGAATACATAGTGGTCAAAAGAGGCACAGGGTTCCTCCTATTACAGTTTTCTGAAATACACTGATACTAATTGAGAAATTCACAACACATAAATATAAACAACAGAGTGAGATAAGTGACATGAAGAAAACATTTAAGATATCACTGACCATTATGTTATGATGTTCTTCAAACAGAGCACAGAGTCACAGAGCTTAAAAATGATAGTTTACCTAAACATAAAAGGTCAGCTGGAGTTAATCCAGGCAGGAAAGTAACATTTGTGGAAGGGCGCCGCAAGCCAAGAGATGAAAAAAATCAGGAAAGGGAGATTCATGGTGTATTTTTCTATAAATTTTTTCTTCTCTCTTTTTAAATTTAAATTAGGAACAATCTTGTTTTACAGTTATCTCTTATTCCCTTTCTATCCTGCCCCCCACTGACTCCCTATCTCAACCCCTTTCTGGTGAGAGTGGAGCGTTCAAGTCTCCCACTGTTAGTGTGTGGGGCTTGTTTTGTGATTTAAGCTTCAGTAACGTTTCTTTTACAAATTCAGGAGCCCTTGTGTTTGGGACATAAATGTTCAGAATTGAGGTTTTCTCTTGATGGATTTTTCTTGCAATGAATATGAAATGCCCTTCTTTATCTTTTTTGATTGATTTTAATTTGAAGTCTATATTTCTAGATATTAGGATAGCCACACCAATTTGTTTCTTAGGTCCATTTGATTGAAAATTTTTTCTCAACTCTTTACTCTGAGGTGATATCTGTCTGTGAGGTTGAGGTGTGTTTCTTGTATGCAACAGAAGGATGGATTCTGTTTTCATATCTAATCTATTAGTTTGTGTCTTTTTATAGGTAAATTAAGACCATTTATATTAGTGGATTTTAATGACCAGTGATTACTAGTTCCTGTTATTTTTGTTTTTGTTTTTGGTGATGGCATTGTGTGTTCAGTTCCCTTCTTTGAAATTTGCTGCTGTAAGGTCATTTATTTCCTGTGTTCTTGTGGACATAGGTAATTTCCTTGGGTTGGTGTTTTCCTTCTAGTACATTCTGTAGGGCTGGGTTTGTGGACAGGTATTGTTTAAATCTGGTTTTTATCATGGAATATCTTGTTTTCTCCATCTACGGTTATTGAAAGC